TGGTCTTAAGACCAAGACCAACTTCGAGTACCACAACACTGGTGAGAACTCTTCCAAAGTATGTGTTTGTACATGCTAGTTACAGGCAATACGATCTTTTTGCTTTAATCATCAGGAACTCTTCAGTCTTTCTTGCAACATAACCAGCTGAAGTGAATACTAGAAGATCCTTGACTGGTTTATGTTATAAAATTACAAAATCTGTCTTGGTTGAGTGGTTTGTGGCTGCGGGCAGATAAATCCACATCCCCTGAGAGTCTGCTTGAACTGGACGCCGTTTGAATCAAACAATATTTCTACCATAAGCGGCAGCAAAACACGTTGAATATGTACGTCCAGAGCTCAGAAATACACATTAAAGCGGCTGTTTGGACGGTAAAAACGAAGCTTTCTTCATGTGTACAGAGTGAAAAAGTAAGAAGGTTTGTTTCCTCTTTCTGTCCACTTATCTGCTGTTAGCCGCTTGGCAAATAAACTCTGACCGAGTCACTTGAAAACGAGGAAGTGTTCCTAATCTCTTCCTCTTGTCTCTGTTGTGTAAAATTAGATGTTGGATAGGAAGTGCCGAAGGCTCTGCGGGGCCCTAATTGTTTCACGTGGCTGATGGTGATTTACCTGCGTGTCTCTGTGGCCGCAGGGCGTGTCGGGACGCCCCACTTCATGGCGCCGGAGGTGGTGAAGAGGGAGCCGTACGGGAAGCCAGTGGACGTGTGGGGCTGCGGGGTCATCCTCTTCATCCTGCTGTCGGGCTGCCTGCCCTTCTACGGCACCAAGGAGCGTCTGTTCGAAGCCATCTGCAAGGGCAAATACAAGGTCAGGGGTCACGATACGGAACCGGCCCCGTCATGAGTCGACACACCGTCGGTTTCAGGCAGCATGTAGAAACAGAGACATACTGCCTCATGCAAAAGGCAAAGATCCTTATCAACTATATTACTTCTAAATAGTAATTATCTATAATTATAAATTCAGTAATTTATAATTTTGGGTTTTATAAAAAAAATTCTTGTTAAAAAATTATTAAATAATGTATATTTATTTATAAATTTAATTTGCAATTAAAGAAGTAGTAGCTTTGTTTTCTTCAAACTACTCTTTCTCATCCAAAATTTTTTTTGCTTATGTCAGCATGTTCACTTTAAACCAGGGGTGCCCAAAGTGGGTCCTGGAGGGCCGGCATCCTGCACGGTTTAGTTCTCTCCTGGTGGTAACAACCTTTCCAGCTTGTCAACGTTCCTCTGAGGCCTCTAACGAGCCATCATTTGATCCAGGTGTGTTAAACCAGGGAGAGAACTGAAACATGCAGGATGCCGGCCCTCCAGGACCCACTTTGGACACCCCTGATCTAAACAAATCAAATAAATTAATTAAAAAAGAAAGACTGAGACACGACAGCAGCTGCTATTTAAAATACAAAAAAAACCTTTATTTTTAATGATCCACACACCAATGCTGCTTTGATTTTCTCAACTCCTTAAAGATTTAGAGCTTCCAGAATGTGCAGAGCAAAGCAAGGGCTGGAGGACTCTCAGTCAGGTCCACCACGGTAACAAACCTGCCTTCATACTTGCTAACTATCACCTTACACAGCCAGACGACTGGCCCAAACGATGAACCAACTTACACCACCATTCATTTCCCTTCTCTGTAAGTCTGTGGTCTTTTTGTGTGAACCACCCTCACAGCAGACCTTCTCCACACAGGATGCCTTATGTTGGTGAGAGTGGGGCATGTTAAAGCGCAGCACGCTGAAAATGTCTCCGTCTTGTTGCTGTGCAGATGAATCCCCGTCAGTGGAACCACATCTCAGAGAGCGCCAAGGATCTGGTGAGGCGCATGCTAATGTTGGACCCAGCGGAGAGGATCACCGTGTACGAGGCTCTGAACCATCCCTGGCTCAAGGTACCGCCGCGTCTGAAACACTGGGGAAACAACAAAACAAACGCTGCTCAGTGTTGGGTTTCTACCCCACGCTGCCGCTAAAAGAAATCTATAAATGTCCTTCCTCTGTTGGAAAAACATGTTGCTCCTTCATTCTTACGGCTCGAAAGTTTTGACTTTTTCAAACTTTCCGCCTGTTTGGTGTAGAAGACCACGGTGGAAGAGAGACTCGTAGCCCGAAGCTGGAGCGAAATCACCGTCCTCGCTCTATAAACACCAAACCGGTGACGGGAAGCGGCGCTCATGCCGCTTGTCTCGTTTCTGCAGACGCTTTCATCGCGTCTTCTTCTGCGGGCAGTGACTGAGGGAGACGTCAAGATGATGTCCTGACAGCTCAGCGCTCCCGGGAGCTGAATGACACATCAGGCAGTCGTGAATCTTTCAAAGCCGAGTCTGGTTTCACTTTTGATTTTTCAGCACTGCTGGAAAAGTTTCACGTCTGGATTCACAGACGCTCTGACACCACACATGAGAATCGTCCCGTTGTGACCACAGGAGACTGTGTCTCTTAGCTCCTACTAAGGAGGTTTTATGATATTTGCGCTAATTTGTGATGTTAAATGTGACTTTTTCATTAAACGCTGTATCGGTCACAGACGGGACATCAAGTAAGGCTGAGGTGTTGGTCACTCAAACCCAAAGTTTTTGGCCAATTTTGAGGAAAAAATGTCAGTAAAATCAGAAAAAAATTTGGAGATCTGTTGATTTTATGAAAATTTTGTGGATTTGTGAAAACTTGGAGGATCTTATTGATGTAATTCGGAGTCTAGACGGCCACATAAAGAGCTACGGCGGGCCAGATGTGGCCCCCGAACCTTGAGTTTGACACAGTTTTTATTTCTTATTGAAGGTACATCTACATTTCCCCCCCTCAAGAACAATACATTACTAGTTTGTTCTATAGATAATAATCCACTGATGAAGGAAGGGCACTCTGTGATCTGTCGTTAATCTGTCAGTCGGCTGTAAGATTAGCCGCCATCACAGCAGAAGAAAGCAGAGAACGTTCAGAGGAGCTTGACTGCTTCAGATCTTCTCCATTTCCAAACACATAGTGTTAAACACACTTCACGCTGCAGGTGAACTTTCTGCAGTGACTTTGGAGCCCGGGGGCCGAGAATGCAGGCAGGCAGGCTGTATCTCAAGCATTTTTCTCGGTAATTTATTGCCGGTGCCACGTTTCGGTCAGGATGAAGACGGAGCGGAATGAAAAACATGTGATGTGACAACATCACATACCTGCAGTGCTGAGGTAATGCTCGAACTGCCAGATGTGATCTGAGCGACGCACGGTTTATTTTTGGATGAACTTACACAGCGGGTTGCTTTTGTTTTGGACATTTTTCTATAAAGGGCATCAGATCTTGGCATAGAAAACCTATTTTTGACGGATTGGTTGAAACTCGATAGAGTTCTGAGGAAGACCTCCGTTTTTCAGCAGTCAGGTTGTGGACGGAGCGACTCTGTTCCCAAGTCTGGATGTAAACTCTCAGCTGAAGCCTGAAAGCCAGAGAGGCGCTCATCGTGACCCAGTTCTCTGGAATTGGGTCATCCGCCAACAGACTTCCTGAGTTTCCTAACTTCTGTCTTTTCCTAGCAGTTTTGATAGTAGTGAGCTCACACTGGTCTCAGTGATGACTCAAAAAAATAAAAGTCCCCGTTGTTTAGAAGCTTTGTGCATTAATGTAGCGTAACTTGGTAAGTTTTTCCAGCCTGGTTAATTTCTTCTCTTGTCGTGGCGCTGGCGATCCTCTGAAACAGACTCGGCCGTTAGGGAAGAGCGAGTTGCTGGTGCTTTTAGGCGCATTTGAGAAACTTAAGCTTTTAAGCAAATTATGTGCAGAAAGATAAAGATCACAGTGGAAATGTGTGCAGATCTTATTCATAAAAGGCGATAATTTCTAAACATGGCTAGTTTGTCCAGCTGTAGCGTCTGTATGGTGTTCAAATTGGCTTTAAATTCGACTATCGTGTGAAGGCCAGTGAACATTAGTGAACAAAAAGCATCACCAACCTTTAAACTCATAAGGCAAATATGAAAATTTTCCATACAGATCATAAATATTAAGCCAAATGTTCTTGTAGGATCTAAAGTTTGTACTGGATGAAGTAGTTTCCTGTTTTAGGTGGAGCTAAGAAAGTAAAAGTTGAAGAACGTAAAGATGGCCGCCGATGATGCCAAGACGGGAATAAAAAGATGAAGGTTCTGTTTGTGGTTCTCTGCAGGAGAGGGACCGGTACGCTTACAAAATCCATCTGCCAGAGACCGTGGAGCAGCTGAGGAAGTTCAACGCCAGGCGGAAGCTCAAGGTTCCCGTCCGTCTGCCATGGGATGTTCCGGAAGGTTTGGTGGCGATGACGAGGCTTTAACGCTCCCCGTGTCGTTTCAGGGAGCCGTGTTGGCCGCCGTGTCCAGTCACAAGTTCAGCTCCTTCTACGGCGATCCACCGGAGGAACTCAACGACTTCTCCGAAGACCCCACCTCCTCAGGTGCCCCCTCCGCTCACCCCTCCACTCTCGCCGAGAACACGGCTGCCTTCCAGTGTTTATCCTTTTCGTCCTGATTGCTGCTGTCTCTATTCCTCTCCAGCTGCTCTTAAACGAGCAGAAAATGAACACGGGGGACTGTGCTCATTATCTCATTAAGCAGGTTAATAGATGCTGTGAGAGCTAAGCGTTGCTGTAGGACACGCTTTTTGTTTTGTTTTTTTCTCGGTTTTGTTTCGAAGAGCTTGGTGGCGGTAAGGTTTTAGGAGGAGAAGGATTTTCCTGGTCTTTTCTCTGGAGTTTGTTTGTTTCTAACTCTTCTGATACCAACAGAGGGATGATTTGTTTGTAAACACGTCGGAAGCCAAACTGCCCGCCTTTAAGCTGTCACTGGTTGTCATGGTTACCCACCGTCACCTAGCTTTATTAGCAATAGCTATCATGTAAACCCCATGTATCACAGTGTGATAAAATAAGTTATGCTACCAAATTGACATTAACGAACATCTTAATGGCGATTGATTGCAGGAGTTCGCTGGTTCGATTCCCGGTCTGTCTGTGAATGAGCCCCTTGAGATATCAATTGGATATATAAAGGGCAATATATGAGCTTAATTATTACTATTAATGACCCAGTGAGTGGATAAATAGTGAGACTTCAGCGGATATCACTGACTAGGAATATTAGAGCAATTTTGTTCATGTTAAGATCACCAGCTGTCAATGAGAAGCGTTGAGTCCCTCTAAATCAGACAAACATGTTCGTGGTGCGCAAGGCACCAAAATAGGGTTTTCTAAATCTGTACATTTTCATTTGTTCTTTAAAGAAAGAATAAATGAAATGCAATCATCTTTACCTGTTTTGGTCCCAATTAGGGGTCATTTTGACTGCAGGAGATTCTGCACTCTAGGCGGGGGAAATAAAAAAATAGATGCTAGTTTCAGACTTTTGTGGTGTTTGATGACTCTAAGAAAAATCCTACAAATTTCACATCTTGTCACCTACCTGAAATAATGGCCTAAGTCTTTTTTTTTTTTTTTTTTTTACCAAAAGTTTTTTTTTTTTGTTTTTTTTACCTGTTAAAATGTGAAACGAACTCTTGACGAGCCTGTGACCTCTGACCTCGCAGGCGCTGTGTCTCAAGTGCTGGACAGTTTGGAGGAGATCCACGCTCTGACAGACTGCAGCGAGAAAGACCTCGACTTCCTCCACAGCGTTTTCCAGGACCAGCATCTACACACACTGCTCGACGTAAGTGTCCCTCCCACACAAACACACACACACACACACACACACACACACACACACACAGACAGACACATGCACGCACAGCGTGACATCATCATCACCAAATATATAAGCGTTCACACACTCTGTCCCCTCTGCGGTGGCTCACATCTGGCTCAACTCTCTACATCGTGATGAGTGGCGGACAGCTGCAGCCGCCGTAGAGGTCATGTGACCTCAGAGCCTCTGATCAAAGCACGTTTGAGAGGCTTGGATCCGTCAAGACACTTTATTTTAACCTTTAGCTGCTCATGATTACAACACTCTCTCACATATTTAGCACCAAAAAAAAGCTTTTTTTTGGTGCTAAATATGTGATTTTTATTCTCTTGATTTTATTATACTGTGAATAATAATCACAGTCAATCCATAGATTGTTTTCTGCTATTGATTCTTGTTTGATGTTATTTGAGATTCAATGCTTTTATTGTTACATGCATAGTATTTAACATAATGCTAAATAAAAAAAAAAAACAGGGATCCACCATATTGGATTTTTGGTTGATATCTGACATGCCGATATACTAAAACTCATTTGGCCGATAACCAAATACCAATACCAACCGATACCAATACTGATATTTTTTTTCTGTACCTTCTTACTGAAACTATACGAATTTCTCTACTGTGGAATTAAAATGCTGTATTATCTTTGTCAACTTTCTATTTGATATCAAATTTATCCATGACATCTGCTCTCTTTAAGACAATGACAACACTCAGTTTATATATATATATATATATATATATATATATATATATATATATATATATATATATATATATAAAGTTAAATACTGCAGTTTTAAAGCACAGGAACAATATGTTAAGGGAAATAATCTGCAGTGGAACTAGTACATTTTTTAAACAATATTTAAAAATTATTGACTTAAGTTAATATATCTTCCTGAATAGTTTTATATAAATTAGTTTTTAAGATTTTTGCTCTAGAAAACAGCAAAAATGCTCGTTAGGATTTTGTGTTTTTGCAGTGAACCTGCAACTATCCACACTCACACTTGTTATCATCCATCAACACTTTTCCTTTGGTGTTTTTTTTTTTTAAAGTTTTTTTTTTTTTTTTTTTTTTTTTTTGTCAACCGGTTCTGTGCAGAAAAACCCTGAGAGAGAATTTCACTGGCTGCATCTGACTGCAGCACCTCCAACCCAGGATGAGATCATGGGAACTGAACTGACAGCAGTTTGATTCGTGTTGTAAATGAACCAGACCTGATTCCCACAGGCAGCTAGCCTGTGCATGTCTGAGCGCAGCCTGCTGCCTGTCGGGCCTCGTCGCCGTCCGTCACTGTCGGGCCGCGTTTTCCGCACAAACACGTTTCATCTCACAGTCCTTCGGCCATTGAGGAGTTTTTTCGATCTCGGGGATTTGACGCGCTGACAACAAGGCGAGTCGCTCCGCTCGTCTGTCTGACCGTGTTAGAAAATCTAATTGTCTTTGCTCTTCTGTTGAAAACATTTACTGTCAAGTCAAGTCCCACTGAAATCCTCATTTATCTGCAGGTTTTACGTCAGTCGTCGTCATGGTGAACGACACTTGCAGAGGATTTCTTACAAAGTTGTAGATAAATAAAACAACACAAACCCTGGCAATTGGTTGCAGCATTTGGTTATCCTCATGCTTGCTCGCAGTCTTTCTCTTTATCAAACTGTTTTCATATTTAAATAACAGTATTTCATACACTAGACTAAGATTTAACTTCTCCATAACTTTATCCCTGACCCATCTGAAGACGACTGCATTTCTACTGAATTTACACTTTGCTGGTCTTTCTCTTAATGTGCTACCTCTGCTAAATAATCACATAATGTGCTGCAGCCTCGTCATAAAAACAAAAGTAACAATATTGTTATTTTTACTGGGTTCCCAGCGGTCTGGGTGGGGCCGTCAGAGACGATCTGGCATCTCGTTAAAGGGGCAGTATTATCTAAAATTTGCTTTTTTATAGCTGTACTTCATGTTATAATGTTACTCCCTCGTTAAAAACATATTCAGAGTGTTGACTTGATTCTTTCATGTATTAAGGCGTGTTTGAGAAACCCTTAAATCTCCCATGGCAACCATTGAGCTGTGATAAACGCCTGGGTGGACCTAGCCCCGCCTTTGAGACGCAGATTCTCCTCTGAGCTGCAGTTTCCAAGCTTGTGAGCATCCCTTCCTATATAAGTCAGCTCCTTCAGACTAGCCAGCAGTAATTAGCAAACACCTGGTGGAGCTGAGCATCAGCTGAGCTCATTATAGGAGCTACTTCTCAGTGCAATGCTGGTAAAAACGTTGTTAAAGGGTTAATAGAGGAGCCATCTTGTGGTGACTTCCTGAAGGCAGAGTTTCAGAAAGAGCAGGAGCTTCTTAAAGAGACAGAGGCCCAATTTTAAGCCATAAAATTCCAAAGCCAAATTTTGTTTAAATCATATTTGACATATACATAATTTTTATAACATCTGAAGTTAAGATAGTTACTTGATTGTGCTATAGGGTAGCACTAGATGCCTGGAAAACATACAATACTGCCCCTTTAATCCCCTTAGTGCTGTGAACAGCCAGCCAGCTGCTCTCTGCTGCTCTCCATGACTCAAATGTGGACAGAGGCAGCTGTTGACTGCTGACCCACCGATGCATCACCTCCTCACAGACCGTACTTCAGGAGTAGAGCAGACCTTACATAAACATGTCTTCGCCTTCCTTTCCATTTTCTTTGCTCAGCTGAGTGTCCAGCAGCAGGGTTTGGGGTTTACACTGAAAATGAGACTGAGACCAGTCGACCTGTCTGCAGTTTGTTTGTTCAAACACTTTTATTTCACAGCCTAAATTCTTTTAGGAATTACGTTTCTACAGCACTAACATTGAGTCTATTCAGTATTTACGTTTATTTACCAGGATGGAACTCGAACAGTTTTCCTTATTAGAATATTACTAATATTATGTGTTCTTGAATCCAGCTAATGAGGCCTCGCCAGTGCTGTATTAAAACGGGTAATGTTCATCATCTATTTTAAATCCTTTCTTAGACAAGCCACTAAAAAGCGATCTTGTTAGCATGTGTGCTTCCTGCCGCTGGCCTCAGTTTGACCAGGATCCGGTCAGAGCGGAGTGGCCAGCAGAGGAGGAAAGGTTAACCACATGAAATCAGCTCTTAGTATAATTGTGAAAATTCCCGCATTGAGAAGTTAATGTTGTTTCAGAATAACTGATTCCCTTCTTGGTATGATTGTACAGTTAAAACCAAATGCTTTCATAAACTGTATCTTTTTTTGTTGTCTCTGTTTTGGTCTAAATCGGACTGAAGTTGTTGTGTTTCCATTACCAATATGTGTAAACTTAGTCGATTATTCGCTAAAATAAAAAAAACCCACACAATTGGGATGTTCCCATTAAATATGAAACGCAGTTAAAATTACAAGTGAATGTGCTTGTTTACGTGATAAGTCATTAGAAACCACGCCACACCACGATCCTCTAACTACTTCCTGTCGCCGTCTCTGGTGGTTAGCCAGTGGCAACATCCTGTCGTTGGTCATGTGACTCATGCGATGCAGAAAAAGGGTTTCAGTTCCAGGCCGATTTCCATACGGACAAAAAAACCAACTCATCCCAGCGGCAAAACTTTTTATCCAAAACTGAGCTTTTTTTTTTTTTTTAAGTTGGTGTTTCCATTGAGCAAATTTATTTTTGAAATATCAATTTGCACAATTATATGGTCAATGGAAATGCAGCTAATCCGAAAATAACGAGAGAAAAAATGTCTTCATTATTATTATTATTATTATTATTTTATTTTACTGTTTTCAAATTCAGATTTTTTTATTTTATTCTTTTTACATTTCTTTAATATTTGGTGTAACTTCCCTTCTGACTTGGGTCAAACATTTCATTGACTTGCATGTAAATGTTTTGAGGTGACAGTTAAGGGGTTGACTCCTCACAATAATTAGCTGTTTTGACCCACTCCTCCTGAACTTCGCATATTCTCTGCTTTGTAGGCCACTTCGTTCATCCAGACCTTTTCAGCTCTGTGGGACGTAGATGAGAGGTTTTCGCAGAAGCCCTGAGAGGCATTAGACATGTTTGCTTTTACTTAGGAAGTCTTTTTTTTCCACCACAATTTTCAAATATATCTGCAACTTCTAAGCTTCTTTTATGGATATCTTTATTTAAAAGATGAATAATGATGAATAAAACACAAATCAAGTGGGAGGAGCATTAGTTCTAGGAATCCCACCCTTTGTCTATCCGTTGCAGCAGGGCCATTAGGGTCGGTGTGGTTTCACTCCAGTCCCTCTCGTGGCAAAATAAGCCACTCAGATATGTTTTTTTTCCTTCTCACTTCCATTTCTGGGCAGGAAAAAACAAACAAACGCTTGGCTAAGAAATGAGAGAAGGACGTTTGGATTGTCAAAAAGACATGACGGAAAACCTTCCAGGAAGAAATTGTTCCTTGGGATAAAGGCTAAATGCTTTTCTCCTGGCAGATTTCTATAAAGTAATCTGCAAAGGGGGGAGAATGTCAGACTTTAAGAATATGTCTATAAAAATATGTTTTTCATTTGCCTGTGAGGGCTTTGATTTTAAAATGATCTCCAAAACACTTCCTCTGTTGTAGCCGCTTTGTAGCTAACTGGGCTCAAGTTGCTGATGTTTTCGGTTCCTCTTGTCGTCATCTGCTTTGTGAAGTGCACCAGTCCCCCCTGCAGCAACACTGTCACTTCCTTCCCATACAGTTTAGTTTTCTGTGCAACTAAACACAGCTTTAGTTTCACTGTGATCTTCTTATACACAAATATAAACTGCTGGTTTCTGTAAATATACATTTTCATTATGCTTTTGTATTATTGTATTTGATTGAAGTGTAGCTTTCAAATAGTAATCCTATTGATTGAACTGAAACAATTAATTGGATTAATCGTGATTAATCAATAATTGAAATGCTCGTCAACTAATCTAGTAA